TCACTACCACCTCATAGTTCGCCACGCTCTCGCGGTCCAAGGCGCTGTCAAGCACTAGTGAATAGTAATTCTTGAAGGTGGACACCAGCTTGAAGGGGCTGTGGGGCATCAGGGAGCAGGTCACCTGCCCGTTGGCGCCGGAGTCGCGGTCGGACACGCTGATCAAGGCGATGACAGTTCCCACCTGAGCGTCCTCTCGCACCGGAAGAGCCAAAGAAGTGACGGTAACTTCTGGGGCGTTATCATTTATATCTACTATTTCCACCAAAATGGTACAATGACCCGCCATTGGAATATTCCCCTTGTCAATTGCTTCCACGGATATTTCATACAATTTCTTTTCTTCGAAATCCAATTTACCTCTTGTCCGAATTTCTCCGCTGCTGGGATTTATGGAAAACGCATATAATACTGTAGGCGATACAGGTCTTCTAAATGAGTAGATTATGTCTGCATTTGTACCATCATCAGGGTCTGTGGCATTTAGTTTGATCACTAATGTTCCATTAACTGCATTCTCTAACATTCTCACTTTATAAATTAAGTGGTCAAATTCTGGGGCGTTATCATTCACATCCAGGATTGTAATCAGCAGCTGAACTGTGCCGGTCAGCTCGGGTTTGCCTCCATCACTAGCTGTCAATAATAAACTATGTTCCTGAATTTCCTCTCTGTCCAATGATTTCCTTAACACAAGTGATAACGAAGACGTTTGTTCACGGTTGTTTTGTGTGTCCAAAGTGAAATAATCGTTGGGATAGACTCGGTAGGTCAAGGCGGAGTTTACTCCAATATCTGCATCAGATGCGCCATCTAGTGGGAACCGAGTTTCCGGAGGTCTAGATTCAGCAATGATTATTCTTTTTTCACTTTCAGGGAACACAGGCGGGTTGTCGTTAATATCTGTAACTTCCACCTCCACATGAAACACCTGCAGCGGCCTATCCACGATCACCTCCAGGTGGATGCTGCACTCCGCGCTCCGCCCGCACAGCTCCTCCCGGTCGATCCGAGAATTCACAAACA